TAGTTGTCGAAAACTCACTTTTGGGTCGACCCGAATTTCCCTTTCAATGAAATAAAAATCGACACAAGTCGAGAAATAGTAAGAAGGCAATTATACTATCTTATAGTGCGGAAAATTATCTATCAAACAGTGTAGAACATATTGTGAAGAACAATTGTCAGTTCCATTATTACGTTTGTGTGAAAAAAAATGGGGATATGCGCCAACCTAATAATAGTACGCTTCCGTTCCAACAATCGCTGCTTGCACCAACTGACGACTTGCATCTTGTCAGTTTGCCCTTGGAGGGTTTGGTATTGGGTTCGATTTTAGGATGCGGTGTTTTTCGAGAGTACCCGACACCTTTCCTCCGGTATTATGCAGTTGAAGTTAGTCGGGACGTCAAGGTTGCGGGGTGGGAACAATTGTTCCATCAGTTCACCCGGCGCCCTTATTCCATCAATCGTTGCGGCTTCGGGAGTTCAAAGAAGTGGGAAATGGTGTGGCGTCGGGCGAAAACTTGCGCGCCGCTGTCATCCATTGAATGAATTTTGTGGTAAGGACTGTAGTTGTGCCAGGTATTATTTTTTATCAGTCGGCGTTTTAATCCTTACAGTGAGATGGTAATAGAATCCAGGTAGTCTGTTCAATCAATCATTCCCAGTGTCTGCGGGAGAATGCATTCAAAGTCAAAGTAACATAATAATGGTTTTGTTCCTCCCCTTATAGTGTTCGTCTCTGCATCTTCGAGGTCGGGGAAAAAACAACCGTCGTTTCTCGTGATAAACTTGAAGATTTTGCCGTGCTTGCGATACACATCATTCAACCCTTTGCAACCAGTTCCCCATCCCAAATGGTTGATGCAGTTTCTCCGGTATCGCCTGTGTTAGGTTTGAAGTCTAAATTCTCCGTTTTGTTCGGGAAGTACGATTGTTTGCTGGAGCGAGGTCCTGGGTGTACGGGGGATCTGCAAAACCTCCCAGGTGGGTTCTCGGTGGCGATCTTGGTGGTGTAAGGTAGCGCTCTTGTGGTGCACGATGACTTGACCTTGTTCACGGTACATTTGCAGTCGAGTGGTCAAGCTGAGCGGTTGGAGGGTATTTTGGCCGTTTCGCTCTTCTCCAGCACTTTCCAGAACCTCACAAAAATATCGGTTAGGCCTTCGAAATCTTTACAGTAGCCGGTCTGGCAAAAGTAATCAGTGTGCCATTTTGAAAGTCTAGCGAAGCTATATCGCGCAGTTCTCGCGCTAGAGCATTCTCCCGGCGTGAATATCCCGAGCGAATTCGGTAGATTCTTTACCTCTTTTTGTCCAAAGCTATGGAAATGAGGATTTTGCAGCCTTGAATTTTCTTTTCGGGAAGCTGGATTGAGGACATAATTTGTAGAAAAAAGTGTTAAAACTATCCTCCAGACCAGACAAACCCTTCAGAATGTTACCCCACGATTAGTTGGTCATACGACACACCATTTCGGGTGAAAAATAATAAAGTTGTATTCCCCAACGCAGTACATCATTTTCAGCTGAACACGCGTAGTACGTGTCACAAGAGGGTTTACATCGCACTGGAGTTGTTTTGAATTAGCCCATTCCCTGGGAATTGACTCGAGAACAACTTTTACGACGACGTGAATGAGTTAGTGATCGTTGTAAGAGTAAACTGCCTCTGGGACAGCGAGTTCTTCATTCGTGGAATCGATCACCTATTAGGACAGTGGGAACAGTGATTGAATTCAATGGCGAATTTGCTGCCAAATATACTCGAAATCCCTGAGATCGGGTAGGCGTGGCCGCATGTTTTCAACTTAACCTGAAGGTGTCTATGCTTCTGGTGAGATATTTTCATCTTGACACAATTGTTGTCGTGTCTCTGTCCAACACAGAACAAGATGACAGTTGTCCCAGACTGGAATATTCCACGAGTAACCAGTTCCGTGCCATGTTCGAATGCCACGCCTACTCTGGCTCAGGGATAAGGAGTGTAGTTATTTAGTGATACTTTTGGTGGGAATGGCTGTTTATTAAACAGAATTTGCCGAAAACCCCGGAATAAAAACACGGATGTGTCAACTCGATATTTCTATGAATAAACAGGAATTAGTTTGTCTGGAGAAGGTAACATCGCAAACCAGTCCGGTCGATTTCAAGAGGGATGGACTGATCCCACCGCGGGCGTTTCCACCATTGGTTGCTTTCTTCCTAAATTGATCTCTAACCAATCACCACTGGTAGAGCGAGGCAGCCGGAGGCGGGCTCATCCCGCTCTACTTGCCCCGCTACCCACTGATTGCGATACAAACTATAATCGCTTCAGCATTTCTGCATGCTGTGTACTCGTAATAGAAACGCTTGTTAATCAGAGACATAATGTGTGACAGTTTTAGAAACAAGAAAGAGGAACAGTCTGAAATTATTCAGACGTGGGCCTGTTTTAGCGATTCACACAAGGGGGTTGAAAGCGGTGTCTTCCCGCTCTTGCTAGCATATGTGTATTAAAACGGTTGTTGGGACATCGACGAGGACGTGAGGGAGCCGTTTCAAGATTAATTGGAGTAAAACGAAATCACCGTAACACAGTTAGCACAAAATCGGTTTGACCTCAGTGAAGGTGACGTTTTTATTTATAACTCGATGCGTGAAAGATGAAATGTGAAAGTTCATTCGGTCCTGAGTACCATACTTTGTAAGATCATAGTTTGCCTTTGACCATTCATTCTTTCACCTTTTCAGGGGTAAACTGAGTTCACGAGACGTGTTGATAAAGTCACAATCAGTCACGGCGGTGCCAATAGGGACTGATTGACTGGCCAGCCTGCTGCTGCCTTGCTCTAGCAACCGATGAACGCTAGTGATCGAGTCAGGCAGGTAATATCCATCGGTAGAAAGTCCCCAGTGAGCATTACATCCTTCCCGAAACATCAGCGACTAATTGCGGCGATAAACTCGAAAGACAGAGAGCTGACAAATCCCTGGCCCTGGTGCAAGGAGTGTTGGCCCAGCTCAGATTTTCCATAATAAATAATTGACTTACTTCTCTATTGCTCTCTAAACCACGTTTATCGATCCAATCTCCAAAAAACCTCTTCGTCGGATGGCTTGAATTGTATGCGTACAGCGCTTGTGGCGTTCAAGAAACGCGCGTGTCCCACGCGGCCAAAGAGTAAAAACGCGCATTGTCGTCAACGTGTTAAGCGAGATAGCTTACAAAATGGCTTGCAGGGCCATCCAGTCTGCGAACCAGTGTTTTTATCCTTCCAACCTAACCTGGTACCAATTTGCGGTCCTTGATTGACCACGAATATCGCTGCATCGGTAACTTGCGAGTTTATTAGCTACTCCCGATCTACTGAAAAAGAATGTACAGTAAGTACATCGAGTCCTCCTTTCAGGGTACAGCATCGTTGTGCAAACCCATGGGGGGGGGTCGTACTTTTGCTCTGGGGAGGGGGGGTCGTATTTGTAAGACAAATTTATTTTGATAGTTGATTTTTTCTTGTGGAAAAGGGGGGTCGTATTAATTTTTTTGTTTTTTATGCACGATATAGGCATTCTGTTCGCCTTGCGGGATATACGATTGCAGTTATTGTATATCCCCGCTCGACAGCTTCGCCGACTACATAGTCATCGCTCGTCGTCGGCGAAAATAGCCGTGGGGGGGGGGTCGTGGCAATGGGAACCCGCCATTCGCAGTGGGGCGTCGTACTACACGGTACAATTTCGCACTGTCCCCATGCTGTAGCCATGCCCTCCTTGGTTGCTAAGAGCTTTTGAGGGCGCATAATATCTATCCACCAACCTAGTTCATACTTCCGCTCGGCCAGAACCATGTAAATACCTGGCAGTTGAGGGCAGTGGGCAGTATTGCTGGGGTGGCGTTTGCCGTCAGTCCCGTTGGTGGAAAGGCTGAGTGAGGGGGGGGGGGTGGACTGCAGACGCTTTCTGCAGCCCTTCCACAAATGACGTTGGCAACAACCACCCAACTCCAGCTGTGCCCTCTTTAATCAGCGGAGGTAGTGCAGTGAGTGAACTGGTATGCCGCGTACTTTGAAAAATTGGACATTCTGAGATCAGCTCATTATCCTCCGAGGGTCGGCCTAAGAGTACACTCCATATACTGGAAATGTAGAAGGCTGTTTATTATGAAAAAGTTATTTTCAAACTTTGTGACTGTTTTCGTGGTGGGATATAAGCCGTATTTGGAAGCAGTTGTCTTCGTTTACACACAAGATATGAAGACACCTCTCAGCTGAAAGGATCCCACACTACACATTCATGGGATGTGAAGTGCATCACATGTCGGAGAGTATGGAAAACCGCGACTGTAAAGACAAGGAGTAGCACTAAAGAATATTGGCGACGGGAGGGGCCATTTTGTACTTTTGCTACATCCCATCGACGACCTTTTTAGATAGGCTGTTCTCGAATTGACAAGTTTTACCATGATGGCTCGACGACCTTGCTCCAGGTTCACAAGTGTTCACAGGTTTCACGAGTCTTTGAAACTTCTTGTTGTCTTGTGAAACACTTGTGAACCTGTAAACCAGGACTAGGGAAGCAAAGGAAGTACAAAAGGCCCCCATCACCGTCGCCGAACTGTGCCCTTTAGCAGGCGATGTGTGGCGCCTTTGCGAACTAAGAGCACCATTATAGCACCATTCTGAAGCCATAACAATTGTATGCCAATTCAATAATTCCATGAGTAACCAAGGTGCATCATGTTGAGCCAAACGCCGACTTCTACCGCATGCCCACAAACGACGACCGAACTGTCACATCGACGCTGCCGCTCTTACCGCTTCATTTATGAAGTGCATTTGATATGAAGTGTTGCTGCATGGATATATAAATACACATGTGCAGCCACATGATAACGAGAGAATACTTTATTTAAAAACAATCAAGGCAGTCTCTGGAGGCAAAAAAACCTATTGACAACAATTGAACGAAACGTTAGGTGCTCTCTATGCGATGCTAATATTAGATTAGATTGGCGATGAATGGTAACCGCATGAGATGAGAATCACTCGTGTTGACAAAGGAAGAAGTTTCCCGCAATTGGATCGCCTGAAAAGAGACTGCTTATTATAAGGTGTTGTCATGAGTATGTGACAAAAGAACCGCAATAAGTCGCTCCGGTGGGCGTGGCTAGCCACTGCGTGCCCGCGGGAGAGGAGCTGTGCTGCCAGGTCGGTAAATCTGAAGGGTAAAGGTACGGGGAAAAGATACATACCACATGGCATGGACCCGTACCTCTGCTCAAATTCGAATGAGTTTCGCTATCCCAGTAGGCAATCTGAAGCACATCGAGAATTGCCGCGCATCGCCGCACGGTGCGCCGCGCGCGATTTACAATTAGTTACGATCGTTTCGTCCTTCCCAATCCACGGATGAGTAGTACTGCTCGTAGTTCGCAGTGCATTGCGTCCTTAATTATCATACAGAACTTGAGCGCAAACTGTACCCACTTACCAATTTCCCAGATTTTCCAGTCCAGTTTTTCACCCAAAGATTTTCCGTCGAGCAGGGGGAGGAGTATTTAGTACACATGGAACAGGCAAAATCACGCAAAAACTCGACACCGGAAAAATTTTTTCCCCAGTGCAGCAAAGTTCTCTCAAACACCCCCTCCCCCTGCTTTCTCTGCCAGTGACCAAATACGACCCCCGCTCCCCAGTGGAGTACGACCCCCTGTGTCTTTCCACAACGATGCTGTACCCTGTACATTATAACTCAGCGAGTAATAGTGCAGCGTCATTATGACCAATACGAAATTTCTGAAAGAGGAAAGAATTAGAGTAGGCTTGTCGAACAGGTGATTTAATATCAAGGTTCCCAGCCTAAGAAGAAGGAACCTTTGATTGATTCGGTCGGGCACCAGGGAGTCGGTGTATCGTTGGGAGAAATTATTTTCATGATTCAGCATTTCTAGAAGTATCCAGCACAAGCGCAATTCTGAGAAAATTTGTGGACTGGCAGGCAGCGGGATGTTAAGCTCATGGAAGTGTCTGTTTCTTTGCGTCGGATGGTAACAATTAGAAGTACTAAGAGGTGAGCATACAGTTTGTCTTCAAACTATGCGACAGAGAAGAGTGGTGCTTACCCAGCTTGTGCTTCTCTATGAACTGCTTTACGTTGAACTTCGCTCGGGTCGACGGCTTAGGGACGTTGATGCGCCTGAAAAAAACGGGAATCATCTACAAACGCTAAAGTTAACTGTGAAGAGAGCCATTTGTCTTCAGTCGTTAGGCTCCAGGGGAAGACGGCTTATTGGACCCTTCAGTTGAAGTAGCACGCCATGTGAGCCTCACCTTCCTTGATGCTCCCACATCAGTATAACATATCTGTGAATGTCTGTTCGTGGCTGAGGAGCTGGAGATCCATATGGCATTTGGTGTTGTCCTGAAACTTCCCAATGTTAAATTCAGGAAATAACAATACACGATGTTTTTAGTTTACCTTTTCACAGCTGTAGTTTATTCACTATTAAAGTAAAAGCGATAAATTGAAAGAACCCCTTTCGAAACATTTATTAATGTCACAATCATCTCTACCTCAGTGTTTTCATCTCATCTTGCTTTCTCTGAAAAAAATTCAGAAAAAGCACTGTGAACGTCTGCATATACTAAGAAATCATACAAGGCTAAGACACCCAAAAATTTGCTTGTGCAGCGTCTCTGAAGAGAATGAATATATTGGAGAGTCGGCATGGGGTAGCAGACGGTTCAAGGCAATTCCATAGTAAAGAGCCGAATTTGAAGAGTGATGAGCATCAGGAATCCGATGTGAACAAGAGGGGATCGCGGTTCATTACCATGAGAGTAGGGAAATAAATGGATTTCATGTTTAAGAACTTGTTTTGCGCAATTTGGCTTGGTGGGGGCACCAGTCTGAAGATGTATGAGCCACCTTGTGAAGATCTCTGAACACTGATGATCAGTGTGATTCACCTTTATCAGTTTGCAGGCTCCATAAGAGTTTTCACCACCATTTGACAGTTCAGCAAACGTTCCTTGAGGGGTACCCTTATGGAATGAAAGGTGACGAAGAATCTCTCTTTCATGCTGGAGTGAAGAGAGGTAATTCCAATCGGCAAGGTCTCTGAGCCTCACAATCAGGGGAGCGGCAAGCGTTGGGTTTT